ACATTATTTCTCTCTCAACACCCAAAGCGGTTTTTTTTTTTAAAGTTATGAAGAAGAAGTCTTGATAACTAACCACTCGACACTACAGGGAGATAACTAGTACATTGGACTCTCACAAACTTGCTAGTACATTGGACTCTCACAAACTTGCTAGTACATTGGACTCTCACAAACTTGCTAGTACATTGGACTCTCACAAACTTGTTTCTTCGTCATTTGAGATACGCATCTAACACTAGAGGCAAGAGCTGGTAAAATGGACCTTGACAAAATAGACACCACAGAAGAGCATGAAACTAGACATGGAATTACAGAGAAATTATCTGGATCCATATTCAACAAGAATACATTCAACAAATAAATATTACACCACAGAAGAGCATGAAACTAGACATGGAATTACAGAGAAATTATCTGGATCCATATTCAACAAGAATACATTCAACAAATAAATATTTGACATGAGATTTACTGCCAGCGGAGATATTTTCAAGACCTCAGAGACTGGAATGGACATCACTAGAAGCCAGATGCAGGTGCATATTGTGGCACAGATTACATCACACTGCATCATAGATTTTCACTGGAGATTGCATTTAATCAAGAGTTGTAACTAAATGTTTACAGTAAACAACAAGGAGGCTGTGTGGCCTGGAGGCATGGTGGCCACTGGAGTGCTAGAGGTTCCAGGTTAAGTCCTCGGTGAGGGCTGGGATTTTTTCTTGTGAACTTGAACTTCTAGTAATTCCCCCTGGTTTCTGGGTAGTGAAATCGGACGCTCGTGTGCATTGTTGCCTACATAACAAAATCCCTTAGCAGTTGGAAATAGACAAGAGTAGCCTAACGGCACTGCCCGAGCACAAATTTTGACTTAAAAATGTACCCAAAGTATTTGAGGATCCTAGCCGGTGCTACAGATTCTGTGCACTGTGCTGAGCTTCTTCGGATTCAGACATGAGTTAGAAGAAAGAACGGAGCACTTATAGGTTACTACCTGTGTGCCATGATGTTGATCGGTTGTTCAAACCTCAAACCTCAGTAAACAACAAGAAGAAAGAAACATATTTTCTTTTCAGGTACAATGTTACAGAGATGACACTCGGAAAACAAAGATTATAATTGATGTGTTTATCATATTAATAAGGGTCGACATTAAAAACTGTTCAGAATCACAAAGTATTTTTTAATACATTACCATTAGCCATCAGTATGGAAAACATGTCACTAGCGAGAGAATGCCGTAATCACTTTTATTATCAACACATTTATCTGCTGTATCTGTTCTTTTGATTACCTTCTTCATGCAACAGTCATACCTAGGTCACTGACTGAAAAGCAGATCTTTAATGAGGCAAGCTAAAGACAGAAAAAGACATGGGTAGGCTTGAGAATATTATGCAAGGAGAGGAGCGTATCAGAGGTGGCACTGCAGAATCAGAAGTTCAACTAATGATTAATTTCCACCCAGGTGATGTGATTATCTACACAAATGGCTCTGTATTGAGAGGGAGAATAAGTAACTAGGGGTTGATAACAAAAACGAATAGATGTCACTCAGTTCAGCAGAACCTGGCATAGTTAGTTACTTAGCTAGTCGACAGATTATCCTCATTGCACATTGAACCATTCAGTCCACACGTGCTCGGATCCCCTACTCAGTACATCCCACAGTGTATAGCGACAGGTGTCACCAGTTCTAGGTTGGTTTCTTATTCTTCTTTGGCTTTCTGCACTCTTGTCTGGCCACACCCATTTTAACATACTGTTCTTGTAGTCTGGTCATGGTTGCAGATTCACAGTCATCACTTGGTTCTAGCCAACGTCTCACTTTTCATAGAGCATTCAGTATATCAGCATTTTCCACGGTATGTCCACCCACCAGAATAATTTTACCTGCAAGCCTATCAGCTTGCTCATTTACTTACACACCTGCATGCCCTAGAACGAATGTAAAACTGATATGTGTCAGTCCTGCCTGCCTCAGAGACTCCAGTCAGTGTCTTCGGGTCCAACCCCAATTATCTTCCTGAGCATACTCATTGAGTCACTGAGAAAACATGCGCTGGTAAAGGTCTGCGTCTCCATGTTATGGCTTTGGTCATTCCTATACAGCATGAGAATGAAGTGGAGGTAGTCATTAGAGCTTTCCGCTAACTTGGGAACACACATGTCGAGAGTGTACCTGACTCACAGAGCATGCTGAGAAAGGTGGAGACAGTTATACTCTGTGCAGCATGGAAAGCATCACTTCTCAGGTCCCAAATATAGTTAGCATCCTTTGGATGTTTTCTTCAAGCGACGCCATTAGGAAATATGTTAGGAAATAAACAGGCAGATAAGCTGGCTGGTTCTGCACACCTTGATGGTAAATTGATGCAGGACAAGCTGAATGTAGTAAGGATCCTTTGGAAGCAAGTAAACAGGGCAGAGGCACAAATGGATCATAACGGTCTGTGGAGAATGTTGCAATGAGGAGTGACCAAGGGATCTAGTTGAAGCTCAACAATCAGGATAGGGGTGACCATTACTGATACCATCAGAATTGCAACTCTGCGCTTGCTGCTGAAAATGGGTTTGGAATGCTTTTGGGAATGTCCCGAGTTCTATGATGTCAGTTCTTAACTCAGAACTCAAGGTGGTTGGCAAGTTGTATGGTGATTCACAGCTAGGCACTGATATCTGTGCATCTCAAACAAACACATATGATTTCAGCAAACCATTGATTGACAAGACGAAGATTGCAATACACATGACAGAAAAAAAAAACCCATCTGTCAGAGACCGAGTGATAGAAGCCACTGTGATCTCCGTTGCGAAGAAGTCAAATTTTTTGTTTGGCTATCTGAAGGTCTTGTGTTTGTTTCGCAGGTGCGTTGTTCCATTCATTGTTCCTTTCACGAGTTCAGATTTTTGAAGATTCTTGGGGATCGTCTCCTGAGCTACGGAGTTCGTGCTCGATAGGCAGCTAGCAGCTCTCCAAAGAGAGACCGAGCCATGTGTGCTAAACCCTCGAGCTATTAAATCGATCATCCTATCTTTAAAGTTCAACTTTTGCGAGGGAGATTAACAATACCAGATTGAGAAGAGACAGGGTTACGAATACGAGCATTAGAGAGGAAGTTGGAATAAGACCATGTATGGATTATATTGACAGACAAAGAATGAAATGGTTCGGTAGTCTAGTATGAATGCAGCCAGGCCAAACTGCATATGAGAATTTTTACAGTAGAACATCTAGGAGGAAGGCGAGAGGAAACCAAGAAAGTGATTGATAAATGGTGTAGCTGGAAAAAGATGGACAAATCCATCACTTAAGCCACCCGAGAAGCGCAAGACAAATACAGAAAACCACGACACTGGGCTACAATCTGGTATCGGTGAAAAGATTAAGAACACCAGGCGGGAAAGGGATAGCTGCAGGAGGCGGCAAAGTATAGAACGGCCTGGCGTAAGATGGCTCAGTTCGTATGCTCCAATACGAAATGTATGTAAGAAGGATTCGTGTCGCAATGCAATCATCGACGTTTACCAGAGTTTGATTACTGCACGAGGGGCTTAGAAAAATATCGTTTAAGTGGCTTTCGTTAAGTGGTAAATAAAGAAGAAGCAGAAGAAGACAAAGAGGCAGAAAATAGCAAAAGAATGAAGAATATGAATGAATGAATTAAGAATTAACATCCCTGCTCTTGGGACATTCCCACACATGCTCCGTCTTCGGTAGCCAACGATTAGTCGATATGCTAAAAGTACCTCGGCTGGCGTGATGCTGACCACATCAGCCACCAAGTGCCGATTGGTCTATAAAAATATAGGTCTTTCCCTATATTGCCAATACGCCTAAAGACGTAGAAAGATACCTACAAGTATCTGTTGCAACCTCATATAAACTTCCGCCTGTGTTTTACCTGCAGTGCTGAATAACTTCCAGAACCGCCTGCTGACCCTACGCTGAATTAGTCTATCAAAGAATGGATACATGGTCTGTTATGTTGTACTGTCCACTTGAACCGAGAGTGCCTTCATCACTTCCGCTTTATCACAATGTAGCTCATTACACAGAGGAGAGGCAACAGCTAGTCTACAGTTTACCCCTCACCCCGCACACCCGAAATGTCCTGGACAGAAAATCTAATGTTCCAGACCAGTCTTATCAAGCGCAGCAAGCCATTTTACGGGTAGAACGGCAGTTTCTATTTTCTATAATGACCACATGTTTGGCTGTGTTGCTCTCGAGCCACCGGAAAGCTGCCATTACCGCCTCCACCTCCATTCTCATTCTGGATGTCGTGACGTTATACGCGAGGCTGTTTTCAGACAGGAAGAGGGGATTAACTCTTTCAGTCCCAGTGAACGCATCATAGGCTCCTACCTAGAAGTATAATGAAAGCAGGATGCACCGATATTACTTCTCTTTTTACTACCCCTTTGAACTCTGATGCTAAACCCCTTGGGACTGAAAGAGTTAAACGTCAAGGAGGGGACGATTGAAAAGGGCGACGATGTTGACGAAGAGATTGATGAAGCGAAGAATAAGAAGATAGACGAGGAAGAAATATTGCAGCTGCTATTTTCTTTATGTTATGTATACTCTTGAGGAAAGTAAATAACAACAACACTGCACATTTCAAAGCATGTCTTTAGTGACTGTAAAGGGAAGGGTTAGTTTAAAAATTCGGCACCCCATCTCTGATTGACTTTCTACCCCACCAGGACATCACACAACCGATAAACACCCGATGACACAAAGTGCCACCATGTGGATGAGGATCGCCGTGGAGAGGTCCCAGAAACCGCGTTCAGCCATTAGACCATATATATGGCCTGGCTATATTGCGGCCCCTGGCAAGAGCCAGGGTGGGGCTTCAATTATTTTTTTCTCGTCATCAATTGGGGGGGGGGGGGGAGAGTAGTTCCACCATCCCCCTAACATAATGAATCATTAGGTCCTTTACAGAACCTCACTCCCTCCTGGCACGCTTGAAAGTTTATTGAATTAGAATCTAGAATATTTTCTCAGCGGGGCTCATGGTGCTCTTGATGTAGAGAGCCCGGAGGTTCTGCCAGTTCTCCTTCAACAGAGAGACCAAAAAGTTGATAGCCAGTGTGATGTTCTGGTACAGCTCCTCGGAGGTCATGTTGACATGTCCGACACAGACAGCCAGACACAGCACCTTCTTCATCTGGAACTTGATAGTCGCCTTGGCCTCCTCCACTTTAGCATTGAGCACACCAGTGTGGGTAATGGGTGCAGTGAATTTTCCAGCCTTGTTGAGACCCGGCCCCAAAACTCTTGGGATCTGACGGATCAAGGACTCAGAGGCCAGGAAAGCATCGTACCTCTTGGGAAGCTTTTTCACCAGCTTCTTGTCCTTGTTGAGTTTCTTCAGGGCCTCAATGTTCATGTGGGGCAGGTCGTTAGCCTTAGCCTGTGCTTCAGCTTGATGGTTCCAGCGAATCGCTTGTCCTTCTGGGGATCATAGTTCTTCAAGGCAATCTGCAGCTCCACAGATTCTGTGAACTTGCGCTTCTTCGTCTCAGTGGAATACTTCAAAATATTGTCAATGGACTCTCGCAGCGAGTCTCGTTTGATCTTACTCATCCTCGTAGGTGTGTAGTCAAATAACTAATAATTTCATCCTGAAAAGGACGGTTAATGAAAATTGCACATACCCCACCTCTGTAAACCTTCAACAGCAACGCCAACGAACTGTGAAAACTTCTAAGCTTAACTGTAGATGGATAGTGACATACAAGGTCCGACAATTAAGTAATGAGATTGATTTCATAACAATTTTAATAATCAACAGTTAAAGATATAACCCGTATTTTATTCAAAGTAAGCCATTTGTGGATTGATACAGCAAGTAGCACGATCTAACAAACACTGGAACGACCTCTGTAGTTCTTCTGTTGTTATGGCCCTTTAGTTGATATTACGGTCCTTTGGGTGTCGTCAACATCGTCAAAGAAGCGTCCTTTCAACGGTAACTTTAATTTTGGGAATAGAAAATAATCACAGGGAGACAAACCTAGGGAGTAGGGTGGATGGTTGAGAACACACACTTGTTTTTGCACTAAAAATTCCTGCACAACTACCGTCCTTTGAGTCAGTTCATTGTCACAAAGAAGAAACAAATTGCAATGTGCTAAATACAAAAGGGCAATCAACTTTTTTTTTCTCTTCCACTAAAATTGTACGAATAGTCTGTGCATCAACACCAAATTCATCTTCGATCATTCTCACAGTCGAACAACGATTTTCTTGTATCCGTTCGCATAATTTTGCTGTGAGTTCCTCATTATGAACAGAAATGGGCGCCCAGGTCTAGTTGCATTAGTAATAATTTCCACACCACTGTTAAATCGTGAATACCAGCTGAAAATCTGTACACGAGATAAACAATTATCACCTTAAACTTGTTGCATCAATTCAGCTGTTGCTGGCGCTTTTTTTTTTTTTTTTTAGTTTTAAACAATATTTAATGTTAGCTTTTTTTTTTGTTGTTGCCCCATGCTGATTACGTAAAACTGCACCTCTGACTAGGTTAACAAAATGGTGGCTTGTTTGTTGTCTGCTTATCAGGCGGCGATGAAAAGTTGCCAGATCATAGACGAAGGTTGCCTCTCTGGATTCTTTGCTGCGATTCATAGATGGCATTTTTATCTTAGCCATAATTTAAAATCAGTCTCATTACTTAATCTTCGAACCTTGTATGCTTCACTACACGACAAGAGGCAGAATTAGAAAAGAAGACGAACTGTATGTAACGTGTTCCTTTTTATAGCCAAACTACCTTACGTGCGTTTAAAATGGCACATAAATATGAATAGACTCTGGGAACCCGCCTATTCAACTGGGATCTCGGCACAACCTCCTGGAGCTATTTTCTAGAAAAGGCGGTCGATCCCGGATATGCAGTTGATAAATCAGGTTGTCGTCCTGAATTTAGGACTGGGGATTTCCGCTATCTTTCTATCTATCTTTCCCTATCTTCTCAGTACTGAGAAACGACTCATCACATGCAATTATTTCTAGTCTTCTCTATGTGTGATGTAATTTTTCGTTATTTGAAGTCCCACCCTGGCTTTTGTCAGTGGCCCTGAATATAGCCGGGCCAGAAATATGTCCTAACGGTTGAAAGGGGTTTCTGGGACCTCTCCACGGGTGATACTCATCCGTATGGTTGCACTTTGTATCACCGGGTTTTTTCGCTCTGTGTTGTGTCCTGGTGGGGTAAATTAAGAGAGAACGAGAGATATCACATGCATTCGAGACATTACCACACATAATTGCTCTGTCTCCATCTTCAGCAGCAAGCATAGAGTTGCAACTCCGATGGTAAATTTATCTTAGTGTTTAGTTTCAACTAGATTTCCTGATCATTTCCCGTTGCACCATTTTATTCTAGGACCCGTTGATCTAAAGTTACCTTCTCATTTTTATTTTGCTTGAGTACCTTGTTTTGAGTTGTATTTTCTCTTATATTTTCTATAAATGTTTATTTAAACTATGTCTTTGAAGAATAAAGTACTAAGTATAACAGTCAATACTAAGGAATTCGTAGCATTTGCAATTAAAAAGCAAAATCTTATGTTTCACTCGGGTCGGAGCCCAGTATTTCGTTTATAACTCGGACACTAATAAATATGTGGCAACGAAATTTGTATTGGTCTTACTACCCCAGTTTATGAAAGTCCGGTGAACATTTTTTGTTGGTCATTTTAAGTCGCAGATTTACACTAGCAAATGCAAACCATAAAGGCCTTGAAAGCAAACATTAGTGCGGTCATCCCAGCAGTGACACCTGTCGTACTGAGACGGACTTTCCACAACATGGAACGCCGCGTCCGATGCTGCCTGGAAGCTAATGGGGGCAATTTCCAGCACTTGTTGTGATCTCACCAGTGTTGTCACTTTTCTTTGACAAAAAACATCCAGCATGGAGTCAAACATATCTAAAAACATCTACATTTGCGTCGAAAACATCTAGAAAAAAACATCCAAATGGAAAGAGTCACCAATTACATAGCAGTTGATATGACTTACCCAGTAGAATCATGATCTCATCTTTACTGAAGTCTGCCTCACAAGATCCACAGGATAAACTTAGCTTAGATGATGAAGTTGAAGCTTCAGGTCCAAAATGACTCTGGTATGCTTTAGCTGTTCCAATTTCTTTTAATACCCAACCAGGGAGCTGATAAGTGGAACAGCCTTTTCCTACTCTTATCAGGCCGCATTTTATTGTCAATATAGCATTGAAGAGGTCAAATTTCATCCTGTTTCTTATGTTAGATTTGATAAATTCACTCCAAAACGTCTACCATTTAAACGTCAAAAATGCCATCTAAATGCAAGGAAAAACATTTAAATATGGATGTAAAACATCCAAAGTGCCAACACTGAATCTCACCCGTCTTCGCATGAACGGAGGTGTGTCCATTTCAAATTTTGCTGCCATTTCTTTATTAGTGTGTGAGTTATGAACGAAATATTGAGTTCCGCAACGAATGACACACCCGATAGTTGGGTGTCCTTTGTGGCACGTTACAGAACCAACTGTTTGGCTGTTTGTGGTCTACGATCAAGCCAGATCCCAGGCTCCCCCCCCCACTCCCCCCCCCCCCAAAAAAAAAAACTATTGTGAATTGCAAAATGGGAAACGTTCCCAAGGCGGACAAAAGAAACGCTTTAAGGACACCTTGAAGTCTTCATTCAAACCATTTGTGATGAATAACACAATTGGAAGGCTGCCTCTCTAGACAAAAATGCATGGCGTGCAGCTCTACACAAGGGCGCGGCTACATGTGAAGCAGACAGAACAGCAAGACTGATTATGAAAAGGATGGACAGAAAGGCGACTGCAGGAGTTTCCCTCCCTGGCACAGCGCTTATTCCCTGTCCTCACTGTACAAGAACGTTTCGGGCCCGCATCAGCCTCACCAGTAATCTTCTTACTCATACTTAATGAAAAAGAGTGGTCATCATAATCTTCTTGGACAACACACACGTTCAATCACTTGATATTCAACTAACATGTGCCTTTGGTTTTCTCTATTTATTGTATAATTTTATACCTTAAGGGCCATTACCCCCCCCCCCCCATAATATTTTAGGTAGGCATGTATTTAATCCCTAAGCTACCGCAACTTTCTAAGTGCTTGTTTTTCAATGCGTGTTCCCAGATCTCATTGCTAGTTCGTTAGGGCATGGGATATCGAATTTTGTTTTATTTTCATTCAGATGAAATCAACGCTAACTTCACATCCTAGTCCATTTGTTCCGTTAACTTATAAACTTATCATAGGCAGGTAGCTTCAAGCCTGTAACTTTTGTCGAATTTTACATCTACTTAGACCTGTGTCTTTCTAGACAACTAATATTATCGCTCCCGCCCGTCTAATTATATGCTGTAAATTTTTTCCATTAACTTGAAATAAATAATCTAATAGATTTTGGCAATAATTTTAATAAGGGGGTTAGTATAGAGTATGTAAATGCCTCCCCCCCCCCACCCCCCGCCGTTCCTGCAAAAAAAAACAAAAAACTTTGCAGATATTTATACCCTCTTTATCGCGTGGTCTCGAGGCGTGGTGTCCGCCTCGAGTGCTAGAGGTTCCGGGTTCAATCCCCGGTATGGAAATTGTTCACGTGGACTTTGACTTCTATTAATTCCCCCTAACGGCGCGGAGCGTGGCAAAATTTGAAGTTAAAAATCTACCTAAAGTATTCCGGGTTCCTCGACGGTGCTACAGAGCCTGTGTACTGTGCTTGAGTTAGAAGAAGACCGGAACACTTATGGGGTACTACTCGTGTGCCATGATGTTGATCCCTTATTTAAAACCTTTTTTTTGCATGGAATTAATTAATGTCTCAGCTTTTCATGTTTCATGATCGTAGGTTATCTAATTTCACCAACTCACACGATCAGCAAAAGCACATATCAGGTCAATACTTTTGTCTCGTCCATCCCTCAGGCCAAATCATTCAAGCATTTATCTCTTTGCCTTCCTCTTCCTCTCTTTCCACCAATCTTGCCAGTTGTTAAACAGACACATAGCACCCCCATAATATTGTTCTTTCTTCTTCTACCTTTCTAGCCCCCAATGGAGCATAGTAAAAGCAAGTAAAGGTAACATTTTGGCGCCTTTAGACGTATAAGGCATATAGGGCTAGACCTCTATTTTATAGACCAATCAGCACAAGATGGGTGATCTGGTCAGCTTCGCGCCGGCCGCCTTTACTTCCCGAGACTGCACCCGGTACCCACTCAAGGCTGGGTCGACCTGGGAGTCAATGTCGTTTTTGAAAAAAAAAAAAATAGTCTAACGTCGCCAGGGAGCGATCCCACGATCTTCTGATCCGCACGCGAGCGTCTAGCCACTACGCCACGGCGACTCCCAGCGGAGCATAGGCCCTCAATCAACTCACGCCAAGTCGTTCTATACTTTGCTATTGCATGCAGCTCTCCTCATGACCTCCCTTCTAACTTCATTCTCCAGCTTCCTTCTGTATGTTTTTTTTTTTTTTCGTCCTCAAAAACTCTGGGATTGTCTTAGTTTGAGGTCAATAAAAAAAAAAAGTACTCCTTGTATTATT